TCAAATTGCCTTTATGGAAAAAAAGAAGTCTAATTCTATTAGGATACATAAACTTAACAAGAATCAGAGCACCTACAGAAACCCCCATCCCCCCAAAAAACATTTGGAGTCGAGATCACAAATTTGATTATCATTAATGTATTAATGGGCAGTTGTGGTAATTGGTTCTCATTCCTTAAGTCTTAAAAGGAGAAAGAACACACAGATCAAAAGAAGTCATCTCATCTTGCTCAAACCCATGTTTTCCAATGGATCAGTTCTTTTAAAGTCATGTACCTTATACGGAATTCTGTGTATGTGTTAACAGACAAACAGAAATGACATTTAATTTCAAGCTCCATTAGTAACATATAGGGAATGGTAAGAACAAGGTCAGCCAAGATGGTGAAGGACAAAAGTATTTCATTCCAATTACTTAAAATAGTGTACAAATGCAGCAGCTGAGATAATATTGAATGCTTGCCAACTTAAAATAGAAGGGATTATAGGAAAGAAATAGAAAGCCTTACGATACCTGAAAATCCAAAATGCTCTATTTTCTATTGAAATAATTGTTTTTACAGCAAGCATTCAGATCATATATAACAGATGTCTACAGTCTGCAGGCCAAATTTGGCATGCTTTCTGTTTATGTAAACAAAGTTTTATCGGAATACGGCTATACTCATTCCTTTATGTACTGTCTCTGGCTACTTTTACAGTACAATGGCAGAGGTGAGTAGTTTCAGAAGAGGGTCTCTGGTCCACAACAACTAAAAGATTTACTGTCTGGTCCTTTACAGAAAAAGTTTGCCAATCTTTGGTGTAGACTAAAGAAGGAGGATATATGAGTATTCTTAACGTCATTAAAATAATCCCCAGCTTTCAACACAGATTCTCTGGGACTTAAAGACAGATTCAAGAGAAAACAAGAAGATCAAGAGACTGGCAAAAAGTATGTCATTATTTATTAAAACTTGTTACCTTTAGGGCAATATGACTAAAAGTTAATGCCAAGGATTTTCTCTCAGCCTAATCTTCTATCTATCTATTTAATCTATCCATCTATCTGTCTATCTAATCTATCAATCTATCTCTCAATCTATCTAATCTATCAATCTAATCTATCAATCTATCTATCTAATCTAGCAATCTATCTAATCTATCGATCTAATCTATCATCTATCTATCTATCATCTATCATCTATTTAATATACATCTGGAGCTTCCAGGAGTCTCACTTCTTGTGACCTGGGAACACTCAGTTGTAGCAGGAAGAAATAAAGCTGATACAGAATACTGTAATTTATATATAATGCTGAAGTAATCAGTATTCTTTAGGTTGTATGTGATTGAAATGAACCTCAAACTTGCTGAAGAAAAAAAAGGGAGGGAAACCAAAGGAAGTCAGAACCTGGGAATTTGAATACCATTCTCCTTATCATTCTGTCTCTGTCTCTCTCCCTTTCCCACTTTTCTTCTTCCTCCCTGATATCCAGTCCTGCCCCTCATTCTGTATTAGCTTCATTTCTTCCTTCTGCAACTGGGTGTTCTCCAGGTCATGAGGATGATGACTCCTGGAAGCTCCAAATGTATATTTCCTTCCACCGTCAGCAGCCAGAGAGAATTTCTCTTATGAAGCCTCATATAGAAATCCTAGAAGGGGGCGCCTGGGTGGCTCAGAGGGTTAAGTGCCTGCCTTCGGTTCAGGTCATGATCCCAGGGTCCTGGGATCGAGCCCCACATAGGGCTCCCAGCTCAGCAGGGAGTCTGTCCTCCCTCTGCCTCTACCTCTTCCCCTGCTTGTGCTCTGTCTAGCCATCAGACTACAAGTTGAATGTAACCTCATTGGAAACCCAGAACCAGAACCACCCAGACAAGTCATTCCTGGATTCCTGGCCCACACAAACTTGTGCTCTGTCTCCTCTCTCTCTCTCAAATGAATACATAAAATCTTAAAAAAAATAAAAAAAAGAAGGAACAATGGTTGGTTTGGGGACCAATTCTGTGGTTACAGGATTAGGCCTTTCTACAAATGAAGAGCAGAAGGGGAATGGTATGCAGACAAAAGGACAACCAGCGGATGAACACATGGACTACTCCATCATACCAACTGGCCCTCTGCAGCAGGCAGTCACAAGACCCAAGGACATTCTAAGAGAATATTGCATCTAATCCTTGGCTTGGGCGGGGCTCTTTTAGGTCTTAATTGATTAATGTATTCTGATTTGAAAACCTCTAGATTTCGTAACTCCACCAACCTGTTTCTCAAAAAATTCTTTATTCCTCGCACTACAGTGGATGCTTCTAAGAAGATAGACATACAATGTTACATTTTCCTTTGACCATGTATCTTTCTCTGATCAAATAATTCCAATTTCTTGGTTCCTCCTTAAGACCCTATGGCTGAGATTTTGCTCATTTTTTAAAATTTTTGACTCCCACTAGATTTGTTTTTACAGAATTTAAAGCACATCTTCTTAATATATGAAACTCAGAATGTGACACTGGATAGTGATCCATTCAACCCCGGCTATATTTGGAATTAACATTGGAATCAGATTCACCTGGGAAGGAATCCTAGCTCTGCCACTTATTCATTGTATCATCTCGAAATAATCAATATTCTTAGATGAGGACTGTAAGATATTCATTCATCTAGTAAATATTGAATATTTGAAGGTATCGGTGTTTGATTGCAACAATAAACAAGAGAAATAAGGTCTCCACCCTCACCGAACATGTATGTCAAGAAGAGTATAGATTACGTTATAGGCTGTTTCCATTCACTGTGGTAAGTACTGGGATATGAAATACAGGATGTTACAGAGGGACACAGAAAAGGTATGCCACCTAGACTGAGGGGTGGGGGGTGAGTGGAAGGTATCCGCTTACCAGAGGAAATGGTATCTAAGGGGACACCTAAAGCAATGAGTCAGGCAAAGAGAGTGAATAGCAATTGAACAGTGTTTCTGGGGAGAGTAGGTAGTAAATTTACCATGATACAAGAAAGCATGATTTAAAAGAACTGAATATTAAGTATTAGTCAGGAATATTCAGATGGCAAGTGACAAATCTATTCCCAACTAGCTCAAATGAAAAAGTAGGATTTATTTGCTCATTAATCAAGCTATGGGTAGACTTGGCTGGCATCAAGGATGGCAAGATATAGGGACTGAAAAAATGGCACAACCCTCACCTCTGTCTGTGCTTTTGGTTTCTCTTTGTAGGTTAGTTTTGTTCTCTACTTCCATAGACTCCACACAACCGAGAAAATGGACACCAGCTATCCTAAATTAACAACACAATAGCTTTGGCGTTGGTAAAGGTTGGTTACTAAGACATTAAGAGAGGAATGTGCTTCATAAAAAGGAGCCAGATTTATGATTCAGTACTAGAATGTAAATCAGAAGGTTGAAGCGATAAGGTGGGGCCAGATCATGATTATGTAGGTTCTATTAAAGAGTTGGGAATTTTCCCTACGTGGTAGAGCAATTTATTAAATAATTTTATAATGGCGGAGTGTTAGTTACCTTTAGAAAGATCACACTGGCACAGATTTTAGGGATTGGTAGGAAAGAGCAAATGAGAGAGTTAAGGGACTGTTGTAATAGTTCAGGTAAAAGGTAACAGTGGCCTGAACCAGAATAGTACGGATGGAAAAAAAAAAAAAAGGGGGCAAATTTAAAGATATTTTGGTAGCATCTGTAGGGAGTGAAGACAGAATTAAGGACAAACTTTGTTTCTGTTTTGGGAAGCTTAGCGAACTGGGATACTGAACCTAGAAGCAGGTTTTTGGCGGGGAAAAAAGGCAAATTCAGCTTTGAAAATTATAAATTTGAGGCGGAATGAGTCACAGAAAGCTAGGCTGAAGAAATAAATCGGGAGACATGTGTCTAAGGCATCGATGGGGAGAGGGCTGTAGAGGAAAGACCTTTAGGACAAAAGCTGAAGAACACTAATATTTAAGGGCAGGCATAAGAAGAGAATCCTGCAAAAAAAAAAAAAAAAAAAGATTGAGATAAGGTAGCCAGGATGGTAAGAGGAAAACTAGGAAGAGATAGTACAATAGAAGGCAAACGAAGATTCGAGACTAGAAATTGACTTTTTTAACAGCTGTGCAACATGCCACAGTATAGATGTACCGCAACATCATGAGAGGACTGAAGACAAAACAGAACTCAAAGCAGTTACATAATGTCAAATGTTCCAGGAGGGCAGAGTTCTTCAGCTGTGAGAAGGGGGATTCCATCAACATTAAAGGATCGCTGTGGGGATAAAGTGGGTTCTATTCACACACTGCCTGCATTATGAAGGCATTCAATAAATGTCAGTAATTTTCCTTTATGAAAGTAAGTTGCTGTGACTTACCTGTGGTTCAGAATATACCCTTCCTCCAGGATCTTTTAAAATCACGCTTACAAATACATAGTCCTTACATTGTACTAAGGTAGTTTTTTTGTGTTCCACTGTCCTTGTCCCTAATAAATGTGCCTTTTCCCCCCCTTCTGATTATGTCACTGGGCCCAAATCCTTTGATTTATTGACTGCACCAAAAGTCACAGATTAATTGGCAAGATAAATACAAGTGACATTTTATTTCTGCACATCTCATTAATATAGCTCAACTCTGACTGCTTAGTTCTCTTCTAAACACTTGGTGCCATACAGAGTAGAATGGTTTGGGCTGGTTGCTTTCCTAGGGGGAATTTAAAATGTGTTTCCTTGTTTCGTGTGTGCTCACATGACAGTCTCTTACATTTCTCTATCTATTTATATTTTCTTCCCCAAGAACTAGCTCACATAAAATGACAATTCTTAGCTCTTTCTTTAGGAGAGGGGGAAAGAAAATCAAGTACCAATCCAGTTAAGAGAGAGAGAGAGAGATAAGGAAAGTAGGAAAAGGTTGGAAAGGCATTTTATAATTCATTAATCTATACTGGTACCTCCTAAAATTTCTCCTTATATAAAAGAGGACTGAACAATAGGATCAGAAACTAATAAGAAATCACAGACTTCAAGAGATTTACCACATTTTATAGCTTTATTGACTATTACGAAGTTTCAATATGGTTCAAATAATTAAATACTGCAACTGGGACATTAAAAATACAAACTAATTTACCAAAATAATTGTATTCTGAATATTATGTACAATATTATACATTTTACATTACATAAAGGGTTTTTATACATAAAGGTAAAATTCGATTTATGATTATTGAAAATCCAAAATACATTTGAACAAAACATTCCTATGCATACATACATAATCACTCCACTGGGATAATCAAAATCATACATGAGTGTGGTTATTAAAAACTAACATTACATTCATACAACAATGGTAGAAATTAAATGTCCTTATTAATTTGAGTATTATTACAAAACCACACACATATGAATTATATAACCTAATTCTATATATTTAAAAATCTTTATGTAGAGAGACAAATATGTCTTGATCCCAAAAGAAATTTTTGATTTTTAATTTTTTTATTTTAGGGGACTTTTGCAGTCATTAAAATGCCATACATGGGCATAACACAGGCTCCGATCCCAGCAAACACAAAAGTCATGATGGTCTATCATATCACCATGGGTATTTCACTGTATAGTTTTCGAAAAATAACCCTATTCAACTGTATAATTTGGAATGCCTTCATATTCATACTTGTCATCAAAGTGATTACATATTGAGGAACAGAGCTTATGGGGGAAATCTGTATTACTGTAGAGAACTAGATATTGAAACAAGGATATCACGAGACGATTTCAGAAAAAAAAGAACTGAATGGGTGCTCACGTAGAAAAGAGCACCCCCACACACTAAATTAGTTACTAAACAAGGCGTCAGTCCTTCAGAAGGTTAATACACTGATGTGTCCTACCTTGTTTGAAGACTGGAATATCAAGGTCCAGAAGGCTGTGTCATGAGTTTTAGTACCATCTCATTTTAAAATCTAATTCGAGAACAGCTGTGATTTGAAGTAAAGCCAGACATTTTTCTAACTGATAGGAGAAGCCTGAAAAACTGCCTTTATAACCAAAATGCCTTTCCAATTTATGTCAGTCTGTACGTGGATCTTATTCGAGAGACAGAGGGGTGAAAATCCCATCCGAACTATACACAAGAACCTCAGAAAGGCAGCAGTTAAGACACCGGCCATTCTCCTTAAAGGCTACGCGGCATTTTGCAGTATTCCCTGTTTGAAATCCTGTATCTTATCAAAGGCAAACAACAGAACACCCGGAAACGAGAAGATAGAGAAGCAAGAAGCTGAAATATACAAAACCGGTGCCCTTCCCAGCATCACGTAATCTATGCAAAATGAGATTCAAAGGCTAAGGGTTGCTTTATCGTCTGTCTTCGTGCTCGTGTGCAGCTTGAATACAAAAGAAGCTCTAACCCAGGTTATCAAAATATATTCATACAAACGTCTGAGCACTTCTAATACAAAAGTTAAAAAAAGCCTAAATTCTTAATTCTGTAATTACATATCCCAGAGTTCAGTAGGCGGACTTGTTTCTGAGCAGCTCGGAAAGACTCGGTTGGCGGCGCACCGTCCGCGCGGTCGGGCGCCGCTACATCTCCGCTCTGGGCCGCGATTTCCCCGCAGCGGCGGCCCCGTCCTCTTCCTCCTCGTCCTCCTCCTCATAGGGTTCCTCTCGGCCTTTGGGGCGGTTGTCATCTCGAACTTCTTGTTCTTCGCCATCATTGTTTTTTTCATCGGCCTTAAAGGTAAAAGAAAAAGGGGAAACGAAGAGGTAGGGTGTAGAGCTAGCGATACAAATAATTCCCCCCTTCAGAAAAAAAGTGAAGTCCCTCATTTTTAGAGAAAGGAAGCGACCGGAGGAGTAAGTTCCGCAGGCCATGGCGCTAGTCTTCCCTAATCTTCACGTCGCCACAGGCTTTCCTAACTCTAGGTTGGCCCGTGAAACTGCTCGGCACCTGAGACGTGCCCGCTGGTGTCTCGACCCCACTGGGCAGACGCGTCTCCCACGCACGCGCACACGAGCAGGCGCCACCTCCGGCCCATACGTACGTTCTCCTCATTTTCACCATAGGTCTCTTCAGCATTATGCTCCGACTCCCTTTTTTTCTCTTCAGTCAAATCTTCCTGAACCTGAAAGAAACCAGAGATACTAGGTGACCCTTTTTATCATTTAAACACTTGCAACGACATATTTTGGTCTCCAAACAGCTCATTAAAAATAGCAGAAACAAAATTAAACTAAAAATAAATTTGAAAAAAAACAAGTCTTTTTGAGTCAAAGATTTAACTTGTCTATTAGCTACGAAGAGATGTATGATACACCTCCTACAAAAAATCAATGCCATTGATTCAGAGCTAGGACTTTTGTGTCTGAATTTCTCATTTCTTTAAATAAGTGTTAACCCTGCAAGTATAACACCTGAGGAAATTCAGCTTATAAAATTAAAATGGGAGCAGTTTAACAGGCCAACCTAAAGATGCGAGAACTGCAGAAGTCTGAAGGCTCTGACAGAATGTAAATTCCAGGATGACAGGAACCATCTGTCTTACTCAACTGTCTTTAGTACCTAGATGTGTACCTGGCACATGGCAATTGCTTAATAAATACTGGTGAATGCATCAGTCAATGAATGAATAAGTGAATCAATGCAAAAAATACCTGCTCTGTAAAGGCACAGAAAACAGACACCATTACCTATACATGATGTAGTAGAAAACAGAGAAAATGTATATATATAATCCTATAATTAAGAATAAAGTTCTCTGGCTAAAATATCTAGAACATAGAACACAATCATTTCAATTTCTTCATGAAATAGTTACTAAACTGCCCCAAATCCCTACATCTCTTCAATGTTCTAACATGACATTTCTGTTTCAAGTAGTTTTCTTTTGTGTGTGCTATTACTATTACGTGTCTGTCACTGATCCCAATTATTTTTTTCAAAATGTAAATCAAAGAAAGTACCCAAATATTTTTGCAAAATAACCTCTATTTAGTGATTACATTCCACAAAAATACAAGGTAAAATATATTTTCTAACTTAACTATTTTGAAAACCGTACGCATGCCAAAAGATTGAAGTCACTTGAATTTCAAAAAAATTGCTGCTCATCCATTAAGCATCAAGTAGTGTCCTGGGACTAAAAGAAAACCTGACCTGTCCTAGGACAGTGGTATAAGAGTAGGTCTTCCTGAATAACACACAGAATTACCAGTTTGGGGGTGGAGGTGGGGAAGGGGGTGTTAAAAATCCCAGAAATGGGCAAGGGAAGGAAAGCACACAGGTGTTACACTTAAAGAGGAACAAATTAAGGCTGCCTCAAAGTGTCCAGCCCAGGTGTGAGAGGAATGAACCACAACCCACCACACGAGCTTTGGTAGGAACCTGGCTTGTTAAGAGCTGACAAAGATGACCCTTCAAAGAGGCCTAGACAAAGCCCAGCTTTATTGAACCTCTTCTAATCAGCCCAACGTCAGCCTGACTCACAGCCCCTGAACTACAATAGAACCAAATAAATACATTCTGGGGACGGTGGCATAAGGCTTTTTTTGTATTCACATGTCCCAGTGGTGCGAGCTAAAGAGAAGACACCCTAGTCTCACCTACAGGCTCTTATCAGTGGTCCGTGACATCTCTTCTGCCCTTTGTCAAAGAATCTCATGACAACACTTGAGATGAAAACACTGCATTACTAATTTCAGACTACATATATTAAAGCCTCACTAATTGAAACATCGTTAAATTGCCGAAGTATCCCCATCAATTTCAGTGAACAAAGGCACGTCTTATGTAGTCTTAATAATGAAAATATACTAGTGAACACCAAACTTGGTTTAGTTGGGGTTGGGAAGGAACTGCCTTGAAACTGCAATATGGTGGGAAAGAATGTATAAACCAGGGTCCACAGATTTTTTTTTTTTTATAAAAGGCCAGACTTAGTAAATATTCAGGCTTGCTCAGCCATAAAGTCTCTGGAGCAGCTACTCAACCCTACCGTTGGGGTGCAGAAGCAGCCTTGGACAATACGTAAACAAAAAGCCATGTTCCAATGAGACCTGACTTACAAAATGGACCGAGGCCTATAATCTGCCAAACCCTAACACAGGCTGTAGATTTAGAGAGACCTGGATTTAAACCATGGCTCCCAAATGCTAGCTGTATAAAAATCTATTATGAAAATTTGCCAGCACATACAAATAAAGCAAATAATTCAGGAACTCCTTACAGCCATTACCAAGGTTCAAAAGTTAGCTCAATGTTGCCACCCTTGCATCACCTATCAGTGTGTTTTTTTTTTTTTTTGATGACCTATTCTTAAAAATTCTAGATATCATGTAATTTCATCCTTACCCATCTCAGTATGTATCCCTAAAAACAATGGATTTTTTCTTATAGAACCACAATGCCATTATCACGCCTGATAAATAATCCCATGGTATCATCTAATGTCTAGTTCTGACTTAATATTTTCCTGATTATCAACATGTCAGACACCTGGGTGGCTTAGTTGGTTAAGCATCTGCCTTTGGCTCAGGTCATGATCCCAGAGTCCTGGGATGGAGCCCCACATCAGGTTCCCTGTTCGGTGGGGAGCTTGCTTTTCCCTCTCCTCTGGCTCCTCCCTGCCCCCATCCCGCTCATTGCTCTCTCTCTCTGTCAAATAAATAAAAATAAAAAACAAAAAACAAAAACAAAACAAAAAACCCCCAAAACTGTCTATTTACATTTGGTTTGGCCTAATCATCATCCAAACAAAGGCTATACCTAACAGCAGTTCTGCTCCCCTCTTTTTCCCTTAATGCTATTGACTTGTTTTCCTGTAGAATGACCCACACTCTGGATTCATTGGCTTCTCTGAGGTATCACCTAACTCATTCCTACAGCCCCCACATTTCTTATAAAAGGAAGTTAAAGATCTAGGTGAGCTCTAATCATGGTTGCAAAAATAACAAGCTGTATGACTTTCAGAAACTTAGCTAACCTCTCTAAGGCTCAAATTTCTTATCTGTAAAATAAAAGGGTTTGATAAAAATCAGTGATTTTTAATTTTGTGGCGGGGGAGGGGAGTCATAAACCCTTTTAAGACCTTGGGAAGAAATGCAAATTTAAGCAAATAGGCACAGATACACATAATGTAACATAGAATTTTCAGGAGGTTCAGACTTCCCGAGTCCACCTGTGGCCACCTGTTCTAGGAATGCTTCTCCAAACAGTGTGTTCCTGGAGCTCTGATTCCTAGTCCCCAGCACAGATAAGATCAAAATCTCCAAGGGTAAGGTCCGATCCAGGAATTTGTACCTTTCACACACTCTCTCCAAGGTGATTCTTAGCCACAGCAAAAACTGAGAGCTACTAGCTTGAGTGACAGTGAGTGCAGGGTTAAGAGTGTCTCTGGCTAGAGAGATAAACACCCTTACCTAAATTCTTTCTTCTCTTCCCTGGAGATCTATTGTAGAAAATTTGGGTTGTTTATCAATTGTCAATAGAATCTGAGGTAAGAAACCCTGATGTAAATTACTCTTTAATCTAGGAAACCCACAAATGAAAATTTTGTAATTTTCAAATTTATAGATATACATTATTATTCTGGTAATATATTCTTTGTGTTTGGAACAAAGTAATGCAAACTCATCTTAAAAGGCATTACTGAAAAGAAACAAAATGATACGGAGTTTCTAATTTTCAGATATGCTTAGACTAATAACAGAAGCCAAATGTTACTCTTTTATAATGGAGACACACCAGTTATGTCTTCCACATTCGACCCTCTTTAGTACCCTGATAAAGCTGACGCAAACATTTTGTCAAAGATTTCCCAATACTGTTCCTCATTACTCATTTTTAGTCACTGAAATCTAATGTCTTAGGCATTTTAGAAATGGTCCCTATGTGATGTAGCAAAGTTTAATCGCCAAAATAAGACGGATCTACTGAGTCCGAAATGGGCTTTGGCTTTCACATCAAAGATGTCATGGGATGAGACAGGAACCAGAAGACTGAACTTGAAGTAGTGCATATTGCTAGAATCTACAGATGTGGATGGAGTGGGACAAAGGAAAGGCCTTCGGCACCAGCAGCTCTCGTGAGGGACACCATAGCTGGCTGAGTCTCAGTTAGCAGGAGCTGTGCACCTCACCAACTCCGTGCTGTGGTGACTCACAGGCTGGCGGTCCCCCTACCAGCAGCTGAGCGACCCTGTGTGTGCTCTCCCACGAGTGTGCAGATCCACCTATTTTCAACTGTATTTGGAGAAAATGAGCACTCAGAGTTTTCAAGCTTACCTATCTATCTATCTATGTAACATATATCTTTTTGAACATTTAAACCACTTTTAAGCACCCATAGCACTTTCTGGCAATGCCATTAATTTGTCTTGTTTGCTCGTAAGTAGATAAAAAATCTGGAAAGTGGGCACCTGGGTGGCTCAGTTGGTTAAGCGACTGCCTTCGGCTCAGGTCATGATCCCAGAGTCCTGGGATCGAGTCCCGCATCGGGCTCCCGGCTCGGCGGGGAGCCTGCTTCTCCCTCTGACCCTATCCCCTCTCATGCTGTTTCTCTCTCTCTCTCTCTCTCTCTCAAATAAATAAATAAAATCTTTAATTAAAAAAAAAAATCTGGAAAGTAAGCAACACGGGGATGGGATGCCCACATGAATGTCCCAAGCAGTGAGCCGTGAACACTTGTTCATACCCATCGTTTTTATGTCATAGAAGGGTAACGCTATTGAACTAAGATAAAAGAAGGCAGGGATAGTGCAAATGTCCAAAAAGCCCACTTATCTCGGGTCCCACTGTCTGAGCTCAAGTCACAAGTCTGATGGGAGGACCCCAGCAAGATGCATTTCCTCCCTAGGAGCAAATGCTGATGGAAGTCAGGTGACGTGGGACTCATGGGAGGGGAAGCAACGACAGCAATGGGCCTGTAGTCGGTGTACTCTGAGGCTCAATGCAGAGAAGAAGGACATGTATGACACGGCCCTGCATGGCTTTCGGAGTGTCCCACAAATGTCTCACGTGCATCACTTATAAACATGAAATGGGTTCTCACGTATTGCATTCCTTTCTTTCTCATTTTGCTGCAGTCTGGTGAGAACTTCGTCTCTATTACTAGTCCTTAAATGGTATTCGGGAACCACTCCCTCCTCCAGGGAAGAACTGGGAACAATGGGAAAAGGTGGGAAGATCCAATAGCTAAGCATCGCAGGAACTGCCCGAGGAAGCACCACAGTCTGTGTAAGGGCCACTCAGGGGCAGAGAGGGGAGTCACCCGAGGAAGGAGAAAGGCAGGCTGAGAGCACTCCTACATGGCAGGGTGCACGACCTCGAGCCTACGCAAGAGGAGGTCCGAAAGAGGGGCAGAGACGCCAGACAGGAATTCAGAGCAGGGAACCAGAGAAAGAGACGCAGGCCCTGCTGCGGGGAGAAAAAAGGGCTCCGGTGGGCTCAGCCGACCTGAGGGACACGAAGAGCAGCAGTCCTCACCTCAGCCTGTCACCACTCTCTTCCCTTCCTGTCTCTTTGTTTTTTCCCTATCCTTGACCCCGCTTGGATCACAGGAGTGCTCTCTCCACTTTAACTGACATAATATGAAGGTAAAAAAGTAATCAGTAAATACGGATTAAAATTTTATGTTTACCCTTCTGCATTTTTAAAAAGAAGCCAAGGTGAACCTCCTCTCTTTTAATCCCTCACAGATAATGTGACATCTGACATAATGAAACAATAATATTTGTCCAGACATCCTGTTACAAGACAAGTCCAGATGAATACCTTTTTCTTGCAAAATGTCTTAATATTCAAGGCTTCCAGTTTTCCTAATGCTCTCTTGTGATACCACAGCTCAGGATCTTGATCAGGATGAACAGCAGGATGAGAACAGAGAAAGAATAAAAAGATCAAGCCAGAGTGCCCATGACTAGAGCTATACATTGCCAATGGCTGTAAAGAGCAACATCCCTTTCTGTTTCTCTGGTATAAGTGCAAATTTTAGCATTAGCTCTGAGAAGTGGAGGACAAATTCAACAAAACTGAAAACGCAGGGAACTACGCACACGAGTATAGTAGCACATGTATTCTGAGCAGGGTTCCCAGGGGTGGGGGTATCTGTCCATCCATTCATGCAGTCCCCCTTGGGGCTAAAGCCCCATGTCGGCAGGAAGCCTGGCTGACAAACCCCTCTGAACCAGAGCTTTACTGGGCCAGAGACAGACTAAACACAGGGCCTCATTCAGAGCATATCCCTAGGTATGGAGCTTCAGTGGTCCACACAGCAGAGCACTGTGACTAACCAGCTTCAACCATTCGCATTCATCCATCACTTACACAGATGTGTCACCATGATAGGTGCTCCTTGAATCTAATTAACAATAATCTGCCAGAAGTTTACAATAAAAAGTAAACTAAAATGAAATTTAAGAAATTCCACCCATGGAGGGATGCCTGGGTGGCTCAGTCGGTTAAGTATCTGACTTCAGCTCAGGTCATGATCCCCAGGGTCCTGGGATCAAGCCCCGCATCAGGCTCCTTGCTCGGTGGGGAGCCTGCTTCTCCCTCTGCCTGCCATTCCTCCTGCTTGTGCTCACTCTCTCTCTCTCTTTCTAACAAATAAATAAATCAAATCTAGAAAGAAAGAAAGAAAGAAAGAAGAAAGAAAGAAAGAAAGAAAAGAAAAGAAAAGAAAGAAAGAAAGAAAGAAAGAAAGAAAGAAAGAAAGAAAGAAAGAAAGAAAGAAAGAAAGATTGATTCCACCCATGGAGTGCCTAGGTGGTGCAGTTGGTTAAAGCAGCCGACTCTTGATTTTGGCTCAGGTCATGATCTCAGGGTTGTGAGATCGAGCCCTGTGTCAGGCTACACGCTCAGCATGGAGTCTGCTTGAGATTCTCTCTCCCTCTCCCTCTGCTCCTCCCCACCCCATGCTCTCTCTCTCTAAAATAAAATAAATCTTTAAAAAAAAGAAAAGAAATTCCACCCAAATGCATTTTATTCAACTGAGCTTCTTACGTTTTTTTCCTTTTCTTTATTGTTAAATTTCATTATGACACTAAATTCTTAGGAGGTAAGACAGGCAAAAAGTAGAGACTCAAAAACTTTTTTGGAAGGCGTTAAGTGTATTCTGACGGACACTGTGGGGCCGGATACCGCTGTGAGGCAGAACTGTGGCAATGTCTACAGAGCAAGTTACAGGGGTCATTCCAGACCCCCCTCAATAGGCAAAGCTTTGTTCTTCTACCTTTTATGAGGGAAAGAAACAGGAGAAAATATTCTTACAGAGATCACATAGACCTAAGTCCACCATTCCTAGAAGGCCAAATGTCTTCTTTCAGTTCAAAATTTCTAATGAGAACCAGAAGGAAGGATTTTATGACCCTGTTTTTGTCCCCTCCTAACCAAATGTCTCTACTTCCACGGTCCATTTCCTCTTGCAAGCACCCTCTCTCATCCCGCCTATGTCTTTCTGAAGGTGTCTACAGAAGGCGTGTCAAAGCCGATGCCGCCACTTAAGGGGAGTGCGATGCACCAAGCATCCTGACGAGTTTCCTGCATTCCGCCTCCCTACCTCCTCCTCTCCCTCTTCCTGGTACTGCTCGTCAACATTATCCTCCTGCTGGTCTGGGTTTCCTGCCATCTGTTGAAACAAAAGGGGAAGCTCAGGTTACTGAACACTGGAGATGTGTTTTACAGTACACCGAGACAAAGAGCAAGCTCGCAGCCATAAAAAATGTACTTGCAATGCATCAGTGGCCAGGAAATGATGAATAATCCTTTCCAACACAAAACCTAGGAGGTGTGTTACCCTCTCTCTCTGAGTGGGGGCATATCGTTTCACATAATGGCCTAAACCCCAACCAAAGAGGCGAACCTTCTGTCAGCGTGCGTTAGGACTAACTTTTTGCATAAACCAGGCAGTTCTTAAGATGCCCAAGTTAAAACCACCCTCTGCACTAGCGTCTGCTTACCACCAAATGCTCCTCCATCTCTGCATTCTCTTGCTTTTGATTACTTTGTTTTGGCTCTTCATTTTCATCTGGCAAATTTTCTTCTCTCACCTGCTCAGCTTCCTCAAATTCATCTTCGCCTTGATTATTAGGGTCATCTGCTGGGTTTATATCCTCTACAGCTGCCCTCTGCAAAATTTTAATAAAAAGCAACCACTACTTCAAAATCCAGGATCAAACTTAATTTCATTTGAAAGGCCACACACACACTGGCAGAAAATGAAATCGTCCTCCACCAGATTGTGCAGATCCATCCTTGCCAGGACTCGCAAGTACACATCCCACTGTCAAAAGAGAAAACTTGCTTTATTTGTCAGAGGCTGAATGAATCAGAATGCAATACAAACAGCACTTGTTTTCTGCAAGCAATTCCAAAACAGTCCTCCAAATTCTGTCACAAGAAATGTGAGCATAACTAAATAGACAACAAGAAAAACAGCTAATAAAAGCCGAAAGACCAAGTAGGAGAAATCATTAAAATGAGAGATTTAGATAGGCAAATTGTAACTTCTTTCATGAGTATGTTGATTTTTATACAGACAAACCTTCCTCTGCCAGTGATTTCTCACGTTAAGTGGGTGGACAACCGTCGAAGAGTGAGAAGGCCCCACTGGAAAGAACCTAAGAAAGGGGCTGTGAAGGAGACAAGAAGGGGCTAACCCAGTCTCCGGCAGTATATCTTGAAAAATCCCTCCCTAACCCTGCTCCGGCAGCTCTCAGTGACGGGGTTCAACAAATGCCCTTCATATGATCAACTTGAGAATTATCTCTATTTTCCACTCAAACTCCCGAAGCACCTTTCAAAATAATACATGTTCTCATAAAGATTCAGAGTTTAAAGCCCAAGCTGGGCAGATACGGTAATGCCTGCAGGAGCCTCCCGATGCCTCCAGGGTCACCAACAGAACACTTAACGGAAGCTGAACTGAGAGTCCAGGGTCCTTCGGTAAACCCAAAGAACACTCTCGGTTAGTAGGTCTCTACCAATTTATATTCTAATTTTTCTATAGCACCATGGCACCTGAGCAGATTTTTCTTTTACTTCTCAAGCCACGCATCCTTATCCATCCACATATTGATTAAAATGGCCCCTGACTGCTGGGCCTGACTGGTGGGAGATGACAGAGTCACAAGACATACATAACGCGCTAGTGGACTGTTCAACAGGCTCCATAATGGTCCATTTCCTTTCTCCGGTTCTCTAACTCCCACACTTGCTTTTTTTTTTTTTCCATCTTTCAGAATGACTACATATTTCAATGCCTCTCAATTTTGCTTTTCTCAGTTTTAATTTTATTAAAGTTGGCAAAGGGAAACTCCTTTTATGTTTTCCCAGAACAACTTTTGAGCCGGTCTCATCACACACACATGCCCCCGGTTTACAGTTAACAACACTGCTCATGTAATTATGCAAGCCACCTTCCTCTGGCACTGACCAAGTAACAGACACATCTGGAGCCAGAGCTGGAGCCAGAGGCCTGGCGTCAGGCAAACCTTCAAGTTTCCTTTCCGCTTTGGGGGTTTCCAAGTGTCGTGACCAAAAGAGAGGACACTTACATCTGCCTCAGATTCCGGATCGGTTTCGTGGGGCCCCTGATCCTGAGGCTCATGTCCATTCTCTGGGTCATCTTCTGCCTCATCTTGGTGCTGGTTGTCTCTCTCATAGGCTAGCAAATGGAAGGAACTAACATCAGTGCAGATGAACCAGACAGGATTCCGCCCTTTCACTCAAAGAAAAGCCACTGGTGGGCTTTCCTCCAGACCATTTCTCCCAATCTCTCCTCCAGAGAGGTTAATTTACCATGTGGCATATATCTCAGCTTTTCTGAAGGAACCTATGTCCTTTTCCCAGACCGTGTGTCTAAGGAGATGGCGTGGGTGAGTAACACCATTCTTACCTTCTGAAACAGATGTTTATAACAGCAGCTGCATTCTCCCCCTTGTTATGCAAAAAACAATAACCAAAACTTTCCCAATAAAAGAAAGCCCAGTCAACTGGACGCTGCCAAAATTATTAAAATTTGGTAATATCAGAGGAAATAGCAAGGTACCAAAAGAAGAAACCAAAAACGTCTCAGGAAATGAAAGAAAGAACAACTCCATCTGTGGAGCTCAAATCAAATCCAGCTGATCGTGTGTCGTCTGATATGGCACTGATGAGGGCTGCCACCAGACATATATCTCACATTTCAGCTCCCACAGACGTTTACTTGCAGCTTTTGGAAAAAAATATTTCCATAAAGGGAATTTAGATAAGAGCATACAAAGAGAAGAGCAAACAACTTTTTAAGTAAGATGTAAGAGGAAAGGTTAAGTACATGGAGAGTATTTAGCTTATAGAAAATAAGGATGCGAGGAGGGGGAAAGAGGATGGAGGAGTAGGGGACCCTATTTCAACTGGTTCCCGGAATTGAGCTGGATATCTACTGGACCACTCTGAACACCCATGAAACCAGCCTGAGGTGTAAGAAGATCTGGATCTCTACAAATAGAATATCGCAGGCGGTTGGATGTGAGGTACGAAGCAGGGAGCTGTGATTCCGCGGGCAGATATCAGAGGATAAACGGCAGCGGGAGGGTGCCTGGACATGGGGATCCTACACCACCGGTGAGCGACAGCCTCGCGTGCTGCAGATGGGCACAGACTCACAGACCGGTAGTGGTGGGTAAAGGACGTTAGGGCAGCCCCCAGGATGGAAACCCGGAGTGGCAGGGTCGCGTGCGTGCGACCTGGGGGCGGCTGGCGATTTTAGGAGCACGAAGGGCAGAGACGTGCTCCGAACTGGAGGCAGGACTGGGAGCGCTGCGGAGGAGCGCACAACCCAGGCTGCTGCAGTTTCTAACAGCACGGACAGAAACAGAGACAGTGTGGCCTGGAGAGCTCACTGAAGAATAGACTGCGATCTCTGCTCTGAGGCAGAGGGTTGGAAACGGTCTCTTCTGCTCTGACTTGCGGAAGAGACGCGGAAAGCCGCCAGAAAAGCCGCCAGAGAACAAAAGCCCCAAAAACTGATTCTCACTGAGCCCATCCCCCGCCACAGGGGCGCAGGGCAACTCGGCCCGAACAGGGTTGCCTGAATAACAGCGCGGCAGGCCCCTCCCACAGAAGTCAGGCTGGGAAAACAAGAGGCCAGCAACCCTAAGGTCCCAAGAAAACAGGTGCATATTGCTTGGGTTCTGGTCAATAATTTGGACTCTATACATTCCCTCAAACACCCATCAACAGAATGACTAGGAGGAGGAGCCCCCAAAATAGAAAAGACTCAGAGATTATGACTTATGCTGCAGATTTACAAATGGATGCAGATATAACTAAGATGTCGGAGATGGAATTCAGGCTTGCAATTGTGAAGACAATGGCTAGAATGGAGAAATCAATTAATGGCAACATAGAGTCTCTAAGGGCAGAAATGAAAGCTGAATTGGCAGAACTTAAAAATGCTATCAATGAGATCCAATCCAATCTAGATAATCTAACAGCTAGGGTAACTGAGGCAGAAGAGCGAATAAGCGACCTGGAAGACAACATAATCCATAAAAAGGGAAAAGAGGAGACCAGGGAAAAACAACTCAGAATCCATGAAAATAGAATCAGAGAAATAAGTGACACCATGAGGCTTTCCAATGTCAGAATCATTGGAATCCCAGAGGGAGTGGAGAGAGAGAGAGGACTAGGAGATGTATTTGAGCAAATCATAGCTGAGAACTTCCCTAATCTGGGGAATGAAACAAACATTCGCATCCTAGAGGCAGAGAGGACCCCTCCTAAGATCAAGGAAAACAGGCCAACACCCTGGCATGTAATAGTAAAACTTGCAAATCTTAGAACCAAGGAAAACATCTTAAGGGCAGTTAGGGGGAAGAGATTCCTTACGTACAGAGGGAGGAACATCAGAATAATGTCAGACCTATCCACAGAGACCTGGCAAGCCAGAAAGGCCTGGCAAGACATATTCAGGGTACTAAATGAGAAGAACATGCAGCCAAGAATACTTTATCCGGCAAGGCTTTCATTTAGAATGGATGGAGAGGTGCAGAGCTTCCACGACCGGCAGAAGTTGAAAGAATATGTGACCACTAAGCCGGCCCTGCAAGAAATACTAAGGGGGGTTCTATAAAAGGAGAAAGACCCCAAGAGTGATCTACAACAGAAATTTACAGGGACAATCTATAAAAACAACGTCTTCACAGGCAACATGATGACAATTAATTCATATCTTTCAATAATCACTCTCAACGTGAATGGCCTAAACGCTCCCATAAAACGGCACAGGGTTGCAGATTGGATAAAAAGACAGGACCCATCCATATGCTGCCTACAAGAGACTCATTTTGAACCTAAAGATACATCCAGACTGAAAGTGAAGGGATGGAGATCCGTCTTCCATGCCAGCGGACCTCAAAAGAAAGCTGGGGTAGCAATTCTTATATCAGACAAATTAGATTTTAAACTAAAGTCTGTAATAAGAGACACAGAAGGACACTATATCATTCTTAAAGGGTCTATCCAACAAGAAGATCGAACAACTGTAAATATCTATGCCCTCAACATAGGAGCAGCTATCTTCATAAGCCAACTGTTAACCAAAATAAAGAGTCATATTGATAACAATACGTTAATTGTAGGAGACCTCAATACTCCACTCTCAGCAATGGACAGATCATCTAAGCAGAAAATCAACAAGGAAACAAGAGCTTTGAAAGATACATTGGACCAGATGGACCTCATAGATATATATAGAACATTCCACCCTAAAACAACAGAATACTCATTCTTCTAGAGCGCACATGGAACTTTCTCCAGAATAGACCATATACTGGGTCACAAATCAGGTGTCAACCGATACCAAAAGACTGAGATTATTCCCTGCATATTCTCAGATCACAATGCTCTAAAACTGGAACTCAATCACAAGAAAAAATTGAGCAGAAATGCAAATACTTGGAAGCTAAAGACCACTCTGCTCAAGAATGGCTGGGTCAACCAGGAAATCAAAGAATAACTTAAACAATTCATGGAAACAGATGAGAACGAAAACACATTGGTCCAAAACCTATGGGATACTGCAAAGGCAGTCCTAAGTGGGAAATACATAGCCATCCAAGCCTCACTCAAAAAAATAGAAAAATCCCGAATTCACCAACTAACTCTACATCTTAAAGAACTAGAGAAAAAGCAAGAAATGATGCCTAAGCCACACATTAGAAGAGGAATAATTAAAATTAGAGCAGAAATCAATGAATTAGAAACCAGAAACACAGTAGATCAGATCAACGAAACTAGAAGTTGGGGTTCTTTGAAAGAATTAATAAGATCGATAAACCACTGGCCAGACTTATCCAAAAGAAAAGAGAAAAAACACAAATTAATAAAATTATGAATGAAAGGGGAGAGATCACGACTAACACCAAGGAAATAGAAACAATTATTAGAAATTATTATCAACAACTATATGCCAATAAACTGAGCAATCTGGATGAAATGGAGGCCTTCCTGGAAACCTATAAGCTGCCAAGACTGAAACAGGACGAAACTGACAACGTGAATATGCCAATAACCAGTAACGAGATTGGAGAAGTGATCAAAAACTTCCCAAAACACAAGAGTCCAGGGCCTGATGGATCCCCTGGGAAATTCTACCAAACATTCAAAGAAATAATACCTATCCTACTGAAGCTGTTTCCAAAAATAGAAACAGAAGGAAAACTTCCAAACTCACTCTATGAGGCCAGCATTACCTTAATCCCCAAACCAGGCAAAGACCCCATCAAAAAGGAGAATTTCAGACCGATATCCCTGATGAATATGGATTCCAAAATCCTCAACAAAATCCTAGCTAATAGGATCCAACAATACATTAAAAGGATCATCCACCATGACCAAGTGGGATTTATCCCCGGCATGCAAGGGTGGTTCAACATTGGCAAATCAATCAATGTGATAGAACACATTAATAAGAGGAGGGAGAAGAACCATACGGTCCTCTCAAATGATGCAGAAAGAGCATTTGACAAAATACAACATCCTTTCCTGATTAAAACTCTCCAGAGTATAGGGATAGAGGGAACATTCCTCAAGCTCATAAAATCCATCTATGAAAAACCCACAGCGAGTATCATCCTCAATGGGGAAAAGCTGAGAGCCTTTCCCTTAAGATCAGGAACACGTCAAGGATGCCCACTCTCGCCACTATTTTTCAACATAGTATTAGAAGTCCTAGCAACAGCAATCAAACAAAAAGAAATAAAAGGTATTCAAATTGGCGAAGAAGAAGTCAAACTCTCTCTTTTTGCAGACGACATGATACTTTATGTGGAAAACCCAAAAGACTCCACTCCCAAATTACTAGAACTCATCCAGCAATTCAGTAATGTGGCAGGATACAAAATCAATGCACAGAAATCAGTAGCTTTCTTATACACTAACAACGCAACTGTAGAAAGAGAAATTAGAGAAATGATTCCATTTACAATAGCACCAAAAACCATAAGATACCTCGGAATAAATCTAACCAAAGAGGTAAAGGATCTATACTCTAGGAACTACAAAACACTCATGAAAGAAATTGAAGAAGACACAAAAAGATGGAAAAATATTCCCTGCTCATGGATCGGAAGAATAAACATTGTTAAAATGTCTATGCTACCCAGAGCCATCTATACCTTCAATGCCATCCCGATCAAAATTCCAATGACATTTTTCAAAGTGCTGGAACAAACAATCCTAAAATTTGCATGGAATCAGAAAAGACCCCGAATCACCAAGGAGATGTTGAAAAAGAAAAACAAAGCTGGGGGCATCACGTTGCCCGATTTCAAGCTATATTACAAAGCTGTGATCACCAAGACAGCATGGTACTGGCACAAAAACAGACATCTAGACCAATGGAACAGAATAGAGAACCCAGATATGGACCCTCAACTCTATGGTCAAATAATCTTTGACAAAGCAGGAAAAAACATGCAATGGAAAAAAGACAGTCTCTTCAATAAATGGTGCTGGGAAAATTGGACAGCCACATGTAGAAGAATGAAACTCGACCATTCTCTAACACCATTCACAAAGATAAACTCAAAGTGGATGAAAGACCTCAATGTGAGACAGGAATCTATCAAAATCCTAGAGGAGAACATAGGCAGTAACCTCTTTGACATTGGCCACAGCAACTTCTTTCAAGATACATCTCCAAAAGCTAGTGAAACAAAAGCAAAAATGAACTTTTGGCACTTCATCAAGATAAAAAGCTTCTGTACAGCAAAGGAAATAGTCAACAAAACAAAGAGGCAACCCACAGAATGGGAGAAGATATTTGCAAATGACACTACAGATAAAGGGCTGGTATCCAAGATCTATAAAGAACTTCTTAAACTCATCACCCAAAAAACAAATAATCAAGTCAAAAAGTGGGCAGAAGATATGAAAAGACACTTCTCTGAAGAAGACATACAAATGGCTAACAGACACATGAAAAAATGTTCACCATCATTAGCCATCAGGGAAATCCAAATCAAAACCACCCTGAGATACCACCTTACACCAGTTAGAATGGCAAAAATGGACAAGGAAAGAAACAACAAATGTTGGAGAGGTTGTGGAGAAAGGGGAACCCTCTTACACTGTTGGTGGGAATGCAAGTTGGTACAGCCACTTTGGAAAACAGTGTGGAGGTTCCTCAAAAAGTTAAAAATAGAGCTACCCTATGACCCAGCCATTGCACTACTGGGCATTTACCCCAAAGACAGAGATGTAGTGAAAAGAAGGGCCATATGCACCCCAATGTTCATAGCACCAATGTCCACAATAGCCAAACTGTGGAAAGAGCCAAGATGCCCTTCAACAGGTGAATGGATAAAGAAGATGTGGTCCATATATACAATGGAATATTATTCAGCCATCAGAAAGGATGAATACCCAACTTTTATGTCAACATGGATGGGACTGGAGGAGATTATGCTAAGTGAAATAAGTCAGGCAAAGAAAGTCAATTATCATATGGTTTCACTTATTTGTGGAACATAAGGAATAACATGGAGGACATTAGGAGAATGAAGGGGAAAATGTGGGAGGGGAATTGGAGGGAGAGATGAACCATGAGAGACTATGGACTCTGAGAAACAAACAGTGTTTAGAGGGGAGGGGGGAGGGGGAACTGGTTATCCCGGTGATGGGTATTAAGGAGGGCACGTACCGCATGGAGCACTGGGTGTTATACGAAAACAATGGATCGTGGATCACCACATCAAAAACCAATGATGTATGGTGACTAATATAACATAATAAAATTAAAAAAAAAAAAAAAAGAAAAAGAAAATAAGGATGCAAGGTAACTTACCATCAGGTTCAAGTGTACCAAGGGATTCATTAAGTAAATAAGAGAACAAACTGTTCTCTCGTCTTACTGATAATGGAACAAAAAACCTTAAAGTGCTGTGCAGGGGGACATAAGGAAAACAATTTCTTGACTAGAAGGGCTATAAAATATCAGAACAGGCTATAGAGGGAGTTTGGGTAATCATCTTCTTTCAGGCTCTTTAAAAAAAGGATACATATCTGAGTGTTAGATTTGCCAGAGAGACTGTTACTCTCTAGTTCTATTATAGAGTAAGTGATATTTGATAAATTACATCGGAAATGCTCACCACAAGTGAAAGCTACTATTGCCTTAATTTGAAAAACTTTTAAAGGCAATGATCCAAAGGCTTCCAAGGTAAGGTGAAAATGGAGCCATTTCCCAGAGTATAACAGCCCTATGATAATGTGTCAGAAGTAACAATTCAGTATACAAAAAGTATACAAAAAAGCTTAAACGACGGGAAAAACATTAGAAAGGAAATAGATGATCTCGAGCTGTCTGGGCCACCAATGTGCACTGGTTGGGAGGAATACTAAAAACACAACAGCAACAACAACAAAAGACACACAGTACACAGATCTCCTTTGTGTGTACTCAGACGTGCGCACTACTCTGAGTTGATATTACATGTTACCAAGTAATCTTATTAACATATCCATCATCTAAGAAGCCTCACCACCTCCTTCCTCTTCTTGGATGCCCTGGTCCTCGGCTCCCTGAACGATATCATGATCCATAGCATCATAATGAGCTTGCTGCCTGTAAGGGACACAAATGTTATCAATTCAGTGACAGATTAAGTGGCACAACTGGCCATAAGTAATTTATATTTAAAGGTAGCGATAAACAAATTTTTCAACGTTTTTTAAAAAGTCATAAATTTTTTTTCAACCTTGTGCTATTAGGTTTCATAAAGATTCCAGATACAGTTTCAAAGGATACTTTAAAAGAGATAAAACACCTTTCATGTGTGATAAAGTACAATAAAGTTAGCACAAAATCTGCTAGTTATTTTGAGACCTAAACTAAGCTGGGAGACCTAACATTTTTAATCAGGGGTTAAAAATGTTGATTATTTTAGAAATTAAATATTTGGAAATTTAATTCTCAAGCTGTTGTTCTGCCCCAGCCACAGGAGACACCCAAGCTCACAGGTAATAAATACACAAAACTGCTTGCCACCTGCTTATAAGAACAAGGGGAGCGGGGCGCCTGGGTGGCTCAGTCGTTAGGCGTCTGCCTTCGGCTCAGGTCATGGTCCCAGGGTCCTGGGATCGAGCCCCGCATCGGACTCCCTGCTCGGCGGGAAGTCTGCTTCTCCCTCTCCCCCTCCCCCTGCTTGTGTTCCCTCTCTTGCTGTCTCTCTCTCTCTCTGTCAAACAAATAAATAAATTCTTTAAAATAAATAAAAATAAATAAATAAATAAAACCAAAGAGAACAAGAGGAGGGGCTGTCTGCGCCCATCAGGAGGAGGCTACCGGGGCTGCTCTGGGGGCTGCGGCCGCCCCTCCTGTGGGCCGGCCTGCCTCTGCCGGGCCACCTCTCTGGCGAGAAGCTGCTGCTGCGGCCTCCACAAGTGTCCCTGCAGCCTCTGCTGGTGCAGAGCCTCCTGCTGCTCCCTCCGCGGCTGGGCCTCCTCCGCCCGCCTGGCGGCCACTCTCCGCGCTTCCAACTGCTCCTCAGACGGCGACCGGACCCTGGTGACCGGCTTGGCTGAAGGATATACCTGAGGGAAAACGAGCAGGTGCTGAGCAAGGGTAGTCGGGACCTCTGGGTTCTCTCTTCCTCTGATTCTCACGACAAACTCGGGAGGCAGGGCTGGCTTGTTTCCTTAATCCCCATCTGTCGGGTGAACTGTGATTACACCCTGGCTCCAAGGTCACCCAGAGCCAGAACTCCTATTTCCCAACTCCCTTACTCGCCCTTGGCTTCTTTCAGCTACTGATCTTCCTGATTTCCTGGCATTGTGGCAGATTTTCAATGTGCTCCCTCTCACGTGGAAGAGGGCACAACAGAAAAAAATCAGTTTGGGGCCTTAATTATATGTTATGTTCAAGAGGCTCTGCCCTAAGGGGGCACTTGGTGACCTACCATTAGTTGGGGCAATTTGTGGGCTAAAGCTGTGGCTAAGGATTTTCCATGAAGAGTTTAAGATGCAGGGACACCAATTAATTCTAGGAATGCACAGCCAGCCTCAGGTTAACCATAGCAAGCAAGCAAAAAAAGCCAAATTTCAGGTAAGGGTGGAGAGGCAGAGAACCATTTTCTTCAAAGAAAAAGAGAATGAGGGCAAACATAATACCTTCTAACTAAAGGAAAAACTGATACAGGAATTCTTAAACTCTGCTTCCCACTGAGCTACCCACTGCTCTCTCCTCTGCCACCCTCTCTCTCAACCAACATAAGCACACGCAATTTTCACCAACAGAAAGAAGGTGCAGGGGTAAGGAAAATCAAACCCACAAGGGGGATTACTTTTGAAGAAAGCTATGAGGGACACAAGACCGGCAGAGGCTTCTCCATGCTAAGTTTGCAACAATATAGAAGTGCGATAGAGGCCTTCACATCTACTCAGCCTAAAGCCTCAACCAGCTTGAAGTCTTAGAAAGTCTGGGGCCAAACACAACTTCAGAGTCATAAATAAAAGGTGATCAGCATCTATGGAAAGGCTAAGTAGCCCACCGTTAGGTATCCGTTTAGAGATAGCAGAAGAAGAGACAGCTCAGCTTCTGCGTTCAGGGTTGTTTCAAGTTCTTTTATGAGTATGATTTCTAATAATAATGGATTTTTTAAAGGGAAAAAACCTTATTTATGTAAGAGGGGTGTGCTCTGTAGGGGGAGCCTGAGCAGAGCCTGGTTAAACATACATACTCTCCCAGTGGGGCATCCTTAAGTGATAAGATCAGACTTTTGACAACAATAACCACCTTGAAGATGAATGTGCAAAAGCCAACCTACCATTTGATGGTAAATGAACAGGGAGAAGGAGACTTATGATCACAGAAAATGAGACCTTTCTCGGCCTCACGATGCCCGTGGGACTTGAGCATGTTCCAGGAAGTGCCCCATCAGGCGCTCATCCCTCCTCTTACTGCTCAAGGGAGGGCAGCACGGAGCTCCCTTGTTTGGAACTACTGACAAAGAAAATACACACACCAACAGCCTTCTCCTTCCCCCAGGCACCTTTCTGAGGTACCTGGGCAGCTATGCTATGAGCATGACAATAGAAAACTAAAATACGTGCATATAACATTTAGCGAACTCACTCAGATTTTATTTTAGGGATTGTCATCTATGGGGAGGCTTTTTCAATATTTAAGAACAAAGCCATGCTCCCCGTCCCAGCCGACAAAACATAACCCTGGTGGACATGAAGCGGGTGACCTCGTACTTTGTTGGGCGCGTGCCCTCCCGGAAGGTTGGCTTCTTCTCGAGGTTCACGCCGTTCCTTCCATTCCCGATCCTGTTCCTCGGGTGATGGATCATGCTCCTCCTCCAGACGTTCGGCCTGCCCGACCTGCTCCATCGCCTCCTCCTCCAGGGCCTTTCTATGCTCCTCTTCCACCTGCCGCTCCTCGGGCTCTCTGCCTTCAGCTTCATGCTGCTTCAGCTCTGCCAGAGCCTGAAACTCCGCCTCCTTCCGGGTGGGACGGTAAAGTTTTGTTTCTTCCATTCTTCTAGGAACTGCTTCATGTGTCTGCCACCCAACACTATTTCGAGACACCTAGGCCAAGCACATCACTGGAAATGACACTCTTCCATTTTGAAAGCAGTGATATAATCTCTTTATTACCATGTCTATGGGGTTACAACATAAGCAAAATCCTGGAGTCTAGAAATACAGAGTCCTGACTGAAAAGTATGGCTGCAATGGAGTCACTTAACTCTTCTCACTCTGTAATCTCACCTATAAAATAGAGATAACATAAGCACAATTTCATCCCGGGAAGAATACAGTAAGTAATTTAAAAGTAAAGTCTATACGTGACCACATCTCAGCAGACCCGTTCCTCAAAAGCAATCTAACTCCTGTTATCCCTTAAAACAAAAAGGAAAAACCCCTCAACCTTCAAGTGATGAGGTGTTTATGTAATTTTCTTCAATGTAAATTTTGTTTTCAATAATGATTTGAAAAGTGGGACACCTGGCTGGCTCAGTTGCAAGAACATGCGACTCTCTCTTTTTTTTTTTAATAAAATCTTTTTTTTTAAGATTTTTATTTATTTATTGAGAGAGACAGTGATAGAGAGAGAGCATGAGAGGAGGAGAGACAGAGAGAGACGCAGACTCCCCACTGAGCAGGGAGCCCAATGGGGGGACTCAATCCCGGGACTCCAGGATCATGACCTGAGAGTCCCAGGACCCCAGGATCATGACCTGAGCCGAAGGCAGTCGCTTAAACAACTGAGCCACACAGGCGCCCAGAACATGCGACTCTTGATCGCAGGGTTGTGAGTTTGAGCCCCATGGGTGGGGGAGGGGTGTAGAGCTTACTTCAATTAAGAATAGAACTTTTAAAAAATATAATGATTTGGAAAGAGAAGGACAAGATCAAATTGAAGATGAGTTGGGTTTATTTTTTACTGACTAATTAAAAAAAAGAATGCCATTACTAATAGGCATCCATGTTAGCTAAAAATATTTGTGCCCATTAAACCAGATACAATAAAATATATATATATATATTTCAAAGATTTTATTTATTTATTTGACAGAAAGAGACACAGCGAGAGAGGGTACACAAGCAAGGGGAGTGGCAGAGGGAGGGGGAGAAGCAGGCTTCCCGAGGAGCAGGGAGCCCGATGTGGGGTTCGATCCCAGGACCCTGGGATCATGACCCGAGCCGAAGGCAGACGCTCAACCATCTGAGCCACCCAGGTGCCCCATACAATAAAATATTTTTTAACACATTAGAGTAGTATTTCTTCATAAATCAGAGGGAATCCTTTGTAAATATTTTGTATTGTTAATACATAAAATTCAACATAAAAAAATGTCTTTTTTTACAGAGAACTCCTCTTCTAAAATTGGTTGGTTTAAATTGGTGTTCCTGGATTTAAAATTTCAGAGATTTCCACGTGATCTTCATTACTTAGAAAAGAGGGGCAAAAAAAAAGATGATATAATATCACACGAAAATTTATCACTCCTTCCCGCCTCCAACCTTATTTATTGGGAAAAATAACTTATTTGGTCAGATTGCTCCTCCAAATTGAAATAAATGGGAAGCCCTCTTCTTAAATTGACAGAACTATAACTGAGAAATCAGAATGAATGAATGAATGAATGAATGAATGAATGAGTAAGTAAATAAATAAATGGAGGAAGAAAGTCCTCTCTCAGACATCTGAAGACAACTTCTGGAGATGTATGTCTTACCAACGTCCTCACATACCTGGCAGGTTGGACATAATACTGCTCTGACTTAGAGAAATATTTTATATTTCTCTAAAGAGCCTTAAGTGCTTTCAAATACCTGCCATTTATCTCCACAGAATTCCTGCGAGAAAGGTTATAGCAGATAACTACTATCTCCACCTCACAGATGAAAAACTAAAGGTCTGAGTCATTAAAAGATTAATTAATCCAGGAAACAGGTAGTCAGACTAGGACAGGGAAGAGGACTAGTTCCCAGGCCAGGGATCTGGTCATGTTTTCTTAATAGTAACAAAGAAGGGTCCATGAAGACACAGAAGGTTCTGTCTGTGAAGGAATGCTCTGCAAGACTAGGGACTTCAATCAAGTCTACTCACAGCAACTTAATTACTCCCGTAAGATGGTCATGCAGGACACACACTCTCAAACATTCACTGTTAAAAACAACTTTTTCAGGGAGAAAGACACCCATATTTGCCATTTGTATTATGCATGTGATTAAAACAACTATGTTAGACTTGAGGATAAGGGTGACCCTACTTTTGATGTCCCACTTAGGAGACACTCTTAAGCAAGGCTCAATTTTTATGAAGAGCAGGAATGCAAAAAAAAAAAAAAAAAAGTAGATTAAGAGACTAGCACTCATACCTTTGATAGTTTTATCAAGACCTCTTAAATACAATTTTGGCTTGTTCTGTGTGGACCTAGCACTGCATCAAGTTCAACTATATTACCAACTGTAATACTTGAGTGGGCTGTTATAGAACAGCCTCATGATCATTTAAACTTCTCACTCTACCCCCCAAAAAGCCAAACAACAAGAACAAAAAGAAAATATAAAAATTCAGATACAACAGCCCCTTCCAAAAAAATAAAGCCAGTAAAGTCTTTCCCAGAAAGTACTATAGCAGTAGTTCTCTGAGCGTCCTCCCCAGACCAGCTGAATCAGTTAGAAATGCAAATCTTCAGGCCTCATCCCAAAATAACTGAACTGGAAATTCTGGCCTAGGGCCCAACTATCTGCATTCTAACAGCTCTGGTGGGGACTCTGATATACGCTAAAATTTGAGAACCACTGTTCTGGAGGCAGAGTTGGCAATATTTAGAGCAGTTCACCTGATAACAGCTTGACGGGGAAGGTGACCCCATCACAGAATACCAGTTCACGCCTCTTACCTCTGGCTCTCCGGCTGCGACCTCCCTCGCTGTGTTGTCACCTCGTGGAGAATGTGTCCCCTGGGTAACATTCTGCTGCTCTGCTTTCTCTGGCTTTCGAAGGCTTGGAATCCTATTCAGAGTATCTTTCAATTGTTTATATTCTGCAACTTGTGTCTGTGTATAAATTGCACAATTGGATACAAATTGTACAATTTGAGGAGGGAAAGAGATATCGTTCATGGATGGACACTAGGGTTCACTGGAAGACTAGACTAAAATATTATACCTAAGTACAAGTTAGGAAAAATATGCAGATTATTTCCATGCATTAGCTATTCTTACTTGGACATGCTTAACCATTTTTAAGCACATGCAAATGAGAATTAGATATAAAGGGAACGGAGGAAAAAAAAATCTAAGACAGATGTTAGCTTTTCATGCTATGTTAAACAGTCAGAATTTTTATAAATAACTTTCTGGTATAAATATCATTATTAAAACACAGTTTGCAATCAGTTTTATAGCATTAAAAAATCTGTTTAAAAATTCACACAATTATATAAATACAAGTGCAGATATCTTTTACCAATATGGTCTGAGTAATGTTTTTCAGTGAAAAGGAATCATAAGTTCAAAATAAGTAACTAAGTATATATATATTTAGTTATTTATTTATAAAATCACTCAGGCCACCTACCCCCCCACCCCACCCCCCGCCACCATCAACCTGTGCTCAAATAGGGTCCTTAACTTTCCAGAATGCTTTTGGTATTGTGCTCTGAAGATTTAGGAAAGCAATAGCATAGGCATGAAATGAGCCTAGATTTTTATTCCTCAATTGTGAACCTCCTTTCTTGTAAGGTGATAAAGGCGCTAATGTAAGTATTAAACTACAATACACTCATCCAGGTGTATCTGTGTATATGTGGTGGTGGTGTGTATGTGTGTGTGCATGCACGGTATTTTTAATACAAGGAGCTAGAAAGACAGAAAAAAAATCAAATACCTTCACTAAGAAAATCAATAGACACTGCTCATACTTAGCTCATCATATGCACCAACACTGTTATCCTAAAACAGAAATGCTGTGTGTATAAACACACACCTACATAAACACATCCAAGAAACACAGAAATCCATTCTGGACAAGTTTCCAGCCAGTGGGCACAGCAGAGCGGGTGAGTGGAGGCTGGAACCCAGTTGGCACCCCCACTGCCCTAGCCGTGCACCCTGGCAGAGTGCTCTTCCACCCCAACGAAGGCGGGCCTTTTTATTTTTTTCCAGTTCACACAAAGGTGAAGAAGTTTTCTTGCTAAATCTATCTCAGAGGAGTGCATCCTTGTAATTTGTACAAAGGTATGTCATATGGCTAATAGTGGCCCTTATCCCAGAAATCTATCAAAACATTTGCAAACCAACTTTGGAGGTCAAAGAAAATTTTTATTTTTTTATTTTTTAAGATTTTATTTATTTGTCAGAGAGAGAGTACAAGCAGGGGGAGCAGAAGGCAGAGGGAGAAGCAGACTCCCCACTGAGCAGGGAGCCCAATGCGGGACTAGATCTCAGGACCCTGAGATCATGACCTGAGCCGAAGGCAGACACTTAACCGACTGAGCCACCCAGGCGTCCCCAAAGAAAATTTTTTAAAAAGACATCCACATAGTGATACTTTTAATAAATATTTCTTCTTTCTCCTCCTCCTAGAGATATTATATTTGAAAGCAGTTATGCTCAGTTCTCAAATATTAGTGTGAATTGAGAACCACGAAAGGATCATGTTAAAAGTGCAATCTCCTGGGCCCCTCACCCTAGAAATTATGATTCAGTAGGTCTGGGGCAAGGCCAGGTAACTGTGATGCAGGATAGTCTCCAAAAACAACAGTTTAAGAGTTACACATGACCATGATGTCAAGAGCACCTAAACTCTAAGTTCAGTCTGGTCGCTGATCTTGGGCCAGCTGTTTTATTTCCCTTTGACCTCCTTTTATTTAGTTATAAAAAGGACACAATGTTAAAAAAAATAAATTAAAAAAATAAAAAGGACACAATGTTATATAACTCAGTTGACTGTGAACATTAAAGTCCTGTATAAAAAGTTCTTATGATGATCCTTGACACACTGTAAACTCAAAATTCTCTTCTTTTTTTTTTAAAGATTTTATTTATTTATTTGTCAGAGAGATAAAGAGGGGGCACAAGCAGGGGAAGCGGCAGAGGGAGAGGGAGAAGCAGGCTCCCTGCTGAGCCCGGGTTCCGATGTGGGACTCAATCCCAGGACCCTGGGATCAAGACCTGAGCTGAAGGCAGACGCTTAACTGTCTGAGCCACCCACACGTCCCTCTATTCTGTTCCTGCTGTCCCCCCACTCAACTACATTTAAAAATTGGGTTGTTGGGGCACCTGGGTGGCTCAGTCGGTTGAGCGTCCAACTTTTGGATTCGACTCAGGTTATGATCTCAGGGTCGTGAGATCGTGCCCCGTGTCAGGCTCCATGCTCAGCTCAGAGTCTGCTCAAGATTCTCTCTCTCCCTCTGCCCCTCCTACCATGCATGCTCTCAAATAAATAAATAAATCTTTAAGAAAAAATCAGGATGTCAAGTCTCAGTCTCATAAGATGATTTACATAAGAAATGTAGATGCTTGAAGCAGTATTAATATGGAGATCTGAGGTGGGACTCTAAGTACTACACCTAGTTCTGGCATAATGATTTAAAGGGGGTGGTTGGTGGGCAGGACAACTTGAGCCCCTTCTCAAAGGAGCAGAATATATTTTTAAAGAAATAGAATACTATACATAAGTTACATAAAAATATTTTTTTCCATTACAAAATCTTGTCCATAGTACTGCCGATGTGCTTACTACAGAATTCAGTCTTGGTCATTAAATGCATTATTTTAATTTACATTTCTCTGGATTTTCAAACTGCTGCTTAGTCTAATATTTGTGGCCATCATAGCACACAGAATATTCAAATTGGTTTGTCACATTTTTCAGCATGAAAAGCAGCCTCAAATAAAATAGTATTTGGTAAAAATTTTATAAAGAGGGTTTTGAATGAAATAATCTCCTAAAGTCAATTTAATCTGTACACCTGTAAAAAATTACCACACAGGCACAGTTTCATAGGGGGATAATCAATGACTACCTTGAAAAGGAGTCCCACAAATACAGATGCTACAGCCAATGAGATGCGTCAAGGCCCAGCATGTTATACTTTTCCTAATTTTATAAAGACAAAATATAATACAAAAAAAAATGGTCTCCTGGTAAAGACAGATAGCTGGTTTTCCTCTTAATTCTTCCAACTGAAGAGAAGTACAAACCTAGTGACTAAGCTAGCCATTCCTGTTTGTTTGCTTCTCCTAGAAAGCTGTAAAACACAGTATGGTATTCTTTAAAAGGCTCTCCAACACTTGTATTCGTTCGTTTGTACATTCAGTAAATAACCACTGAGGGCTTACTTTGTGCCAGGGACTGTTCTAGGCTTTGAAAAACGGAACTTACGACTCTTGTTTTTCCTTCTCCATTGACATGAGATCTCTTATTTTCTGTAATTTGGCCAAGAACACATAAGGCTAGTCCTAAAAGGAGTGTGTGTAGGCTGGGTTACGGAAGCAAGGGAGGGAGGGATGGAAGAAAAAGTCTGACAATAATTTATTTGGTAGCTAGCATCATAAAATCCTATAGATCCTATAAGAAGAGTTACCACAGGTCAGAGAGTGGCGGAAGACCATATATATGGGATAATTTCTGTGGTTTAAACAAGCATTTGACCATTGCATGTAGGGGCTGGTGGAGGGTAGAAATAGTCATAGGTACCAACCACACTACCAGTGCAAAAAAATAATCAAAGGCTTATTTAATATTCTCTTGATTGAATTTTGAAAGCATGCATGATCCTCAGGATCAGGAGAGCTCTGTCCTAAGAACTCACTGAAGATTGGCTTGTAAGAGATTACATGCATAAAGGAATTGGGAAATGTTAAGCAGATTGTAAGGAGAACCCATAGAGGCTGCTACCCTTCTAACCTGTGCAGCAGCTAGCGCACTCTTGTGGTCTTCCAAAGTCACTACAAGTTGTTCATGCTCGGAGAGTAAATTCTTATGCTGTTGCTACACAAAAAAGAATTTTACATGTTGAGATTTAACATTCTAAGACAGATTCTTCTTCGGCTGACAGTGCTATGAGCACCCAAACGTAGCTTGCTTGCCTGCTTGTTTGCTGTTCTTGCAGCACTTGCTGAGTTTAAAAATCATTGTAGAGAGAAGACGATAGATAATAAGATAGTATTCTGAAATCTAAAACGTGCTACCTAAATATCACAATCCCTTACAATGAAATCAAAACCAAAGAAACAAATACTTCATTATTAATAAACCTCTATAAATAAAAAGCTTATTAAAATGCAACCATCTAGCCAAAGAATCATTTCGGTACTAATGAAAATGTTTGGATTTTCAGACCATCTTTTAGCTTACAATGCAGATGCGGTAGAAGTAGTGGGCACAATCCAGTTTATGCAAAGTCCAAAATAACAATGTGGATTTGAATGCAGGTCAATTAGGGAATGACTTGTAAAGCTATTCTACAAAGTAAAGCAGGCCAATACTAAGCAGTCAAATGCCCGGGTTTGTTTTACCTTGACGTCTTGAAGCTGTGTATGCATGTCCTGGTGTGCCTTCCTTAGCTGTCTATTCTCTTCTCTCAAATTGTACACAGTTTCTATTTGTGGAGAAAAAAAATCATGCATAAAGCCTTGAGATTTTTCTGGCCTTTGATTCCATTATTGTCACATCTACAACTTCACATAACTATTTTTAGGATTTGTTTTGAATTTTGACAGTATAGCATGCCAAATCAACAAAAATTCTATCATTTTGGGATGTGACATGGATTCAGCTTGCCATTCCAATACAATCTGGTTTGGTAGTTTAAATACTTTTAAGGAAGCTACACAGTGTGGAAGTTAAGGATTTCTAATTACTCAGGAGTTAAAAATGAAGTATTTCTGTAGTAAGCAAGTCCTCAGGAATAAAATGTAACAGGCAGGGATGGTATAAGATTTGAGTCTCTCCACAAATTAAAGTTATCAAAATTAGTACAAACCCTATTTCTCATGGCATGAATAATTTCCATGGACCCCAAAAGGTATTTCAATTGCAAAGACAACTCAAGAAATAAAAGAAGAGACAGAGAGAAACCCCACTTACCTGCTTAAAAATTCTAAGTATATTTTCTTTCCCCTGGTACTGAGTTCTTGCCTGATACAAATTCCCCCTTCCAATAGCGATAGGACAGTTTTCCCAGGCCTACAATGTGAGGCTGTAGCTGTCTCAGTGAAGCCCTCTAATCTCTCCAATCTTAAGCCTACTGTTCAGGGAACAGCCTCAGTGACTTAAAGATTCCAGGCCCACCTCTCCTACCCACTGGGTGAATTTCTTACTTTCGCTGCATCTGGCCATTAGATGTTATAAACTGGCAGCCCCGGGGCTGAATCCAGCTCACACTTTTTTTCTTTTCTTTTTTTTCTCCTGGCCCCTGCAGTGTTGGCCTATGCAGAGTGTTCCACATATGAATAGTTGGCACCATTTAAAAATCAAGGATCTGGGTCTACTAAGATCTGGCAACATGAGGCCAATTCTCATGTGACAAGAATCAGCAGAAGTTGAATGGTGGCAGGTGACAATATAATTCATTTTTCAATGGGAGATACCTTTGAAAGTGAAAGGGGAGGCTGTTAATAATGATGCTGACACAGCAGGTCTGGGTCTACAGTGTGCCAGGCAAATTATCCCTGGGTGGCAGCCACCCTCCTCAGACAAAACCTGAGCTCTCCGACGTGGCACTCAGCACTGAAAAAAAGTGCCCGCCCCCATCTCTCACCCTATTTTCTGTCCACTTTTACACCTTTATCATCCCTGCCTCACCCCTGAGCTCTGGATGGCTGACTAGGTGTAAGGGAGAGGTCAAGAACAAGGTGGGAAAGGTTCTGATGCAAAGGTCAAAATAGGACACCACTGGAGATCCAAGGGGACTGTCAGTGTGTTGTTGGCTGGAGAGGGCTTCAGTAAACACACACACACACACACACACACACATACGCATACACACATGCACGCATGCGCACACACATACGCATACATATATGCATGCACACATACACGCAAACACACACATACGCATACACACATGCACGCACGCATACACACGCATACACACACGCACACATACGCGCACACACATGCATGCACACACGCGCACACATATGCGCGCACACATGCACGCACGCGTTCACACACATACACATACACGCATGCGCACACATACACACATGCATGCGCACACGCGCACACATGCATACATACACGTACACACATGCACACATTCACACACATACACGCACACACATATGCATACACACATGCACGCACGCACACACACATATGCATACACACATGCACGCACGCATACACACACACACAAATACCCAAACTGCTAGCTTCTAAAGGAGTTTGAGGTCATAAACTTAATGGCAGTTGCTTCTGTGCCTTAACTGTATTGCCTTGAGTAAGTTATTTAACTTTATGAAGGCTCAGTTTCTTCCGTTGTTAAATGAGGCTAAACACAATGCCTTGCTTACAGGTTGTTATGAGAATTAAATAAAACAATTGCATGAAAAGTTTCACCTGGTACTAGCACATGGTGAACATGTCCTGAGTGTCAGCTATTATTAGAACAGAAATGAAAAAGAATAATTATCTAAGCTTCTACGTTACCAGTTTATCTCCCAGGAATTCTAAATTCCCTCCTGGTATCACATTAAACTTAACCCGAGACTACCTGGGTTATACGTCTGAGTTGTCACTACTGACCTGCATCTGTCACCATGTGCTTTAACTCACTATCCGAAGCTTTTACCAAAGGATCATAATCAAACAAAAGTGCTGACGTAGAAACTGCTCAGTAAAGTGTCAAAGGCACTGTCACACCCTATTGTTTAAGGCCTCTGAGAAATTTCTTCCAAAAATTAACTGATACCAGAAATACAGTTCTCTCTCACCCCTTCTCTTTCTTTCTTCTTGTCTTTCTCCCTGCCTTGCCCCACGCACAGGGTAGGTATATTTTCTTTCTGATGATAAGAGCCCCAAAACTTACTGCATTTCCCTTTCGGTCGTGGCTACCAGGAAGTTCAGACCAGGTTATGAGGCTGAAATTATCTCAGTACGCAGAACTCGCATACATGTGTCCTCCTATTTTCCACGGTTCTGATTTATTACTTCTACATATAATTTGTTAAAATTTTGCTCTAAATGCACTTTGTTTCAAAGAAAGGAATATAGAGGAGATGCAAGAAAACATGCTTTATATTTCCTTTGTGAGGACGTTTCTCTGTCTGTTATCTTAATGACCCCCACCATCTGCCATATCACCAACAGCCAACCAACGCCCCTGCACGTCTACAGCTCTCGGGTATCATCTGCTGACACCTGGCCCAACACTTTCAAGACCACCCTAACCCTTAATACTCTGCCTCAATGGCTACTTAACTCTCATGTGCCTTTTTGTTATGACTTACTATTGTGAAATACTTATAGACAAAATATTGCAAATAAAAATACAGAGAGGACCAAAGTACCTATCACTCAGCTTCCTTCTACGATGATATCTTATATAAAATAAAAATATTGTTTGGCACAGTATAATTAACTGGACCACAGACCTTCCTCGGATTTCACCATTGTTTTTTCGCAAGCACCATGTGACTTTTTAAACCAATTCTCACACTTCAAACTTATTTAGCACCTGAATAGGTGATTGTAGAATATTTCCCTTTTTCAGAATTTACATATACTCAGAGTGATACAATTTGTTTCATAATACTATGAAAATACCTCATGCTGACACTGATCACATATCAGTAACTGTGCTAGGTGCTTTACATAAATTATTTAATCCAACCCTACGAGGTTGAATAGCTTTTTATGAATATCCCAATTCTACAGATGATGACAATGAGGCCTGTGGTGATCATACAATTTGTCCATGGTCCTGTAACTAGAAATTGAAGAGGCCAAGACTCACCAGGGCAGTCTGACTCTAGATCCTGAGCTTTTCAAAGCTACTACTAGTGATCAACAGGTAGTTTTTTAGCCCCTTGGAGATTAGGACATGCATGGGGCAACTCTGATCATCACATTGAATGTGGAGCACTGATGGCATTTTGTGAGTAGGGGTCAGAGATACTAAATATCTTACAACACACATAAAAAGAGAACTTTCTTGCCCGATGTGGCCAATGTGCCCCATTGGGAAACACCAAGTATTCTATTCTGTTTCCTAAACAAACCCAAAGAGATAAGGATAATTGTGAAATGTTACAAAGAAGTAAGTGGCTGGTAAAGCACCACATGGTAAATGTGAATCAATTGCCATGCAAACAAACACGATTCTATTGCTTTACTGAAACATTACACTGAGTAGTTATTTCCATATAAACTAGCTAATCAGACTTCCAAATACCTTTTAGCTTAGAAAGTTCTTGTTCTTTCTCCTGCTGTAGCTGCAGGTACTTCTGCTTATGGTCATTAAACGTCCTACTGAAGTCTTCTCCTTGTTTGCGATGCTCCTCCTCCAAGTCGCTGTGCTGTTTCTTCAGCTCCTCGTGTTGACTCTGCAAAGACGAGAACCTGAGCAGAGATGTACATTCTCTAAATTATACCACAGTCTAGAGCCTTTCTCTCTCAAGAAAGAACAGTTGCAGCAGGAGGCTTTGTTTTCCTCAGGTTGCTTTGAATTGGGGCAGCTCCCCTGCATTTCCCTTACATTTCAAATCAAGGGTTTGGGATCATGGTCAGAAATAATTTTCTCCTTAATTTTGAACATCGGTAAAAACAACAAGAAGTTAGAAGTTAGCCATGGGAGATGGAAAGGGGAAGGATTGGGGAAACTCCCAGGGGCTCAAATTGCTGTGGAAACAAGGTAAAGCGAATGGAAAAATTATCCCTCCACGGCTATTCCAGACTTCCTCTTTCAATCTGATGTTTTCCGAGCAACATTTTTTTATTTCCCTTCTTTAATTTTCAGCCTTCCTGGTAACCTAGTTTAAAAAAAAAGAGTTATTTCCCTTTGGGGGAAGTAATACATTGTTTATAGGATGATTCTTATTTACCTTACTCCTCGTCATACTCCTACACTGGAATCACAATCTAGATAAAACCCACAGTCTCCAAATGCTAATGTGAAAGGGTGGTCTGCTTTAATCCACGCACTACTTTCTTGATACTAGGAACGGTTCTGGCTTCAATAAAAAGCACTTGTTCTCCTGATACAGGAGGAAAGACAACACCAAACAAAAAGCGAGGCGGGCAAGGGAGGGAGGTTGGAGGTGCGGAGATCGTGGCAGGGTTTTCCTCCTGTGCAGAACGCTTGATGGCTCCACTCCTCTCTCCTAGCTTGACAGAAATCACGACTCTCTCCCCTCCACTCTCTCTCGTTCCAAGTCTTCTCGACACACAATAATGAGTTTTACCCAAGAACCAAGGAAGGAGAATCTTTAAACATAAATTGTGTTCCTGTGGTAGGTAAAAGGACACATGAAATATTAGTAACATGAAGGAGGCGTTTAATCATTCTACTGCCTCCAGTGTGCCTAAGATAAAAAGAAACATATGAGGAAAACCACTGTGAGAAACTAAGCAAGCAAACACAAACAAGAAAGCCTTAAAAGAGAAAGAGAATAAAATTAAAAATTAGGTGACCAGACAGATTTATAAGAAAATGTATAATAAGATGATTAGGATTGTTGTAATTGGGTGGTAAGAGGAGGGAACATTACAATTCTACAGCATTTTTAGTGAAATATGACTTTAATGTACCATCCTACCATACAGATCAATTTTTCGTAAGCTTTCCTTAATCACTTAAGTTACTCAGTTAATTCTTTCATTCATGCATTCATGAGGAACAACTTTAAATTACTCACTTTCAACATCTGATGTTGCACATTCAACGCACTGTATCTGCTATTGGAATCTTGCTGTAAATTGAAAAGAAAATAGTTAACACAAAGATAATGAATCTGGCTCTCTTGCTAAACATAGCTTAATGCACTTAACAGAAGAATTCCATTTATTTCACTTACATAAGCTACAATGAATTCTATGCTTGAACCAGGATGTCTCTAGAGCCATCTCTTTATTTAATGGCTGGAATGAAGTCTTAACATTCCTCTAAGTTTGCTAGAGTTTAGTAAAGAAAAAGCAAGACATGGAATTGTAAAAAAGCAGCTTAGCAGGGGCCCTGGAAATGATTTACTTCCCCTCTCAAGCTGAGAAGAACCGAGGCTCCGATGCACAAGGACCTTGTGAGCCACACTGAGCCACTGTCACTGTGCATGGCTGATACACTGTGCCAGGTGCTCAGAGGGGACTAGGTCCAGGCCTCGCAAGCTTTGCAAGAGAAAAGGCGCTTTCTTTCCCTGAGCTTCAGTGCGTAAGGAATTCTCCATATATTACTTTACCCAAATGAGACTCCCATTTCACAGAGCGAAGAAATGGAGAAAGGATAAGGAATAAGCTGAGGGCAAACACTTCCTTTAGTAGAAGAGCCAGGACTGACGCTTGAGCCTAAGCCATGTTCCAGTGGTGTACATGTGTGTCCCAGCAGAACAGCCTGACACGTGGACCTCACGCAGGTGCAGAGTCCTGGGCAGCCGGGAGCAGTGTGTACACGAGACACCCAACCATCTTCTCTCCCCATGTGGGGCTCTTCTATCTGACCCCCACACCCCTGCTTTGGCTCCAGCACAAGCACACCTGCAACCAGTTGTTTCTTTCATTTTTTTACCATTTCTAAGATGAACTGCATTTTTACTCTATTGCTTTATTTTACTGCTTTACTCTTTTACTTTACAAAGAAACTGCATTATGAAATGCACAACAGAAAGCACACAGTTTTGGCTGGGGCTTTTAAAGGCGGTAAGAGTTGAAAGCTGACAGTCTCCCAGCTATCCGAGGAACTGACTCTTCTCAGTTTTAATACTCCAAAATGCCAGTGTTTCATTCAACTCATGGTTATATATTCTTCTTGGAGTAAGAGAAAAACTTGCTTTTCTCCAGTGAATTTGGACTGTGCAAGTGACAGTAACATTGCAGGATTTTTTTGGCAGCAATAAATACATACATACATATATACGTACGTGTGTGTGTGTGTGTGTATACACACACACATATACATATACATATGTATGTATATTTCAGCCTTTCAGTCCTAACGATCAACATAGTAAAAGATTTTGCCACTATTATTTCCCTCTCCTTAAGTTTCATAAAATAATCAAGAAAAAATCCAAAACTTACCCTTCCTTTATTTAGTGTTTCTTGTGCCTCTAACTTATAAACAAGAAAATCTAGAAAATAAAAAATTGTGAAAATTGGGTGTGATTAACTCATCATGGAATTTTCAAAAGAATAAAAGCAAATTTTGTTCAGACTTGTGAAAAATATTTTAGTTTTAAAAACAATCTGCTTGGGGGCGCCTGAGTGGCTCAGTCGTTGAGTGTCTGCCTTCAGCTCAGGTCATGATCACAGGGTCCTGGGATCGAGCCCCGCATCGGGCTCCCTGCTCCGCGGGGAGCCTGCTTCTCCCTCTCCCACTCCCCCTGCTTATGTTCCCTCTCTCGCTGTCTCTCTCTCTGTCAAATAAACAAATAAAATATTTAAAAAAAAAAAAATAAAAGCAATCTGTTTGGTAACATACTTTATTTTGCCTCTTAAGGCCTTTTTAGAAAGAGCTGGAAAAAAAAACTATTACATAATTTTCAGCTTTATTTTAAAGCTGTATATCTTGAATAAGGAAAATACACATTATAACCAATTAATTAGAAGTGAATTTAGAATGTGCACTCTGTGATTAACTCTCCTTGAAATTTAGGAGAAAAAAAAAAAAGAGGCATACCTAAAGACAGAGATGATTATTGCTGTCCGCTAGATGGCACGCTAAAATCATTCAGGACTCGAAAAGAGAAAGCAAACAGTGGAAACCATCTTTAATGCTCTTAAAGCTTTATTATCCACTAGATGGCTCTATAAAATCACTCTGCATTTAAAGACAAGGAAAATCCAAATCCCATCAAAGCATTCTCATGATGTTAAACTCCTATTCCTCAGACAGGCTTAATCCAAGGGTCAGTAAAACATCCTAACCCATACTGCCCTCTCAGTTTCCCTCTCTCTACCCCACACCAACATAGTCAGACAGAATACCTAACTTATATTTCCTCACAAGATTTCACAAAACATGAGCTAGTAAGCGGATAATTTCAAAGAACAAGCTGTATAAAGCCTATGCGATATAGAAAAATCAATAGCATTGCCCAATGCTTGTGCTAGATGCTAATTTTTCAATTTGAACCGATCAGCTGTGCCAGTAAGTCTTCACAAGATGAAAATAAGTGCGTAACTTAAAAGACACCATACGAAAAAAAGAGACGCCATACAATGTGATCAATTTATTATGTTGTAAATGTACATACATGTATGTATGTATGTACACATGTGTGTATATGAATGTATAAAATCTGTCATATTCTGGACAACATGGACCCCTACTATCTATGGACAGAATTTTCAGGTATGAGTAACGTATGTGTGTAATATCCAGATGAAAAGCTGTTTATTTCATAGAATATGTGTAACTAATAATGCGAACTACCCCAAGGTTGCAGCACACGGAATGAAAGATTCAGAACCCAGTCTTAAGCAGGAATTACTGTGTTGTACAATGCAAAACATAGGGCTTGACTTTCTCTGTCTACCTGTAAGAGTGACTTAGGGTTGATTTGAGACATTTCTTAACAACAACAACAACAACAAAGTAAAGCAAGCACATGATGTTTCAAAGTATGATAAAAACACAGAATACAAACTGCATTTTCTATTTACCTTCTTTTGCTTTCTTATGTTCAAGTCTTTCCTTTTGCAAGGATTTCTCTAATCTTGATCTGTGTTCATACACAACTGAAAGAAAAAAGTTAAAATTTGTCTGCAAAGAATTAGAAATTCTAAAGTAAGATTCACATCAATTTTCAAAATGGGGGGTAAACACTTTAGGGTCTTCACAATTAAAATAAAAATGTATGCGTTTATAAGTTCCACATGCTGGGTAAAAAACAGCCACAACAGTCTGAGCTGACTTCTGCACGGTCTGCCCCTTTATAGAAGCAATACTAAGCAATACTCTGAAAGAAGTTTCTTTCCATCTTCTTTACCAGCCCCTGCTCCTTCTCCTGCTTCTCAAAACCTTCTCTGTGAGGTTCCATGTCTTTTCCTGGGTAAATGTGTCCACTCTCTTGACTTCTACCACTGTTTGCACAGCAGTTAGCCCCACATCTATATTTCTAGCTCCCACCTCTCTCTTAGGTACTAGCACAGCATTTCCTAAAGACTCCAGGATTTTTCCACCTAGGTATCCCTTAAGTACTGCCAAGTCCCCATGATCTGAATCGGAACTAAGGCTGCTGGACCCCTGAGAAAACCTCAGCACCCCATCGGCATGAAAGAGATGGTGTATTCCCCCACATCAAGGAAAACACAGGTGAGAGAGCCAGAGAAATGAAGAGGGAGGGACTCTACAGAGAACCTATGAAGGTCAGGTTCACATCTGCCATGGTACCAAGGTTCCCCCTACCTGCCCTGTCTACTCTGAAAAAGCCAGCGTTGCCTGGCGAGTAGAGAGGAAGTGTGGATGTCCTAGGGGAAAAACAGGGAGGAGAAGCTTATCAGAACTCTCTTCCCCACCTCTGGCTTCACATCTACAGCAAACAGGAGCTCGGAGAGTGGGAAAAGCTCTGCCTTTGAATGAATAAAATAAGAAAATAGGTATTTTATTTATATAATAAAATGCATGCATATGGACTAGACCAGACATAATACTTACTAGACCGAGACCGTGTTTATGGATAAAAGTTACAAATACTTTTTTTTTTAATCTGAGAGAAGTTGAGAAGTATCCAAGTCTGTGTTTTCGTCCTGGGACAGAAAACCCAGCCTCACAGAGTGGTTTGTAAAAGGCAAAGAAGGGGAAAAAAGGCAAAAACTGAATTTCTGAGGTATGCTTTGAATCCTATTTGTGCAGCATTATGGTCACCTATGATCTCATTCCTTGCCAGACTAAGCCCAAGATGTCATTTGGTTCTTCGACCAGTCTTTAGCTGCCTTTGGCTACCTAAGATACAATTTAATCATCAATCACTGACTTGCCAGGTACCACACATCCAGCTGCCCAGAACTACTGGCCATCCCAAAGGGCCAAGGTCACAGCCACTCCCCCCCTCACACCTGCTGTAACTCCTTGCTGCCTGCCCTTTCCCCAGTGTCCCAGCTGCCAGTTACCAGCCACTGCTGTCCTCCTTCCAACATGCCCAGCATCTTCTGGGTCCTCCACCCTCTCCCCATGCTGCATGTCTCATCTTGCCATCCCACAGAAACTTTCCATTTCCAGGGCTCCCTCTACAACTACCACAGCCCCTACCTCTACTCACACTTCTGCTAACTTCTCTGTGCACACCCCCTTAGAATGCCTGCCACCACCCGATCTGGCATGGTGTCCTCCCCCACAGCATGTGTGCCCCAATCTCAGCTTCCCCCGCAGCCTCAGCCTCCCACAAGTCATCCTAACAATCCCTGTCCCAGTCTTTTTCTCCGTCCGGGTTCAATTTCTTTTGCCAGATGACCCCTACCCCCCCTCCCCGTGCTATTTTATTATAAAGGATCCAATATAAGTCTGCATTTATGGAGCCCCTACTATGTATCTGGAACCACATTATGTGTAGAAATGCAAAATGAATAGACATGGGCCTTGGCCACAAGCAGCTCAAGCCTAACACAGTAGATAGGTTAGGTAATTTTTATATAATTAGAGCTAAATACATTTAGCATAATAAAAGTATATTTAAGCCCAAGGAAAGACAAGGATGAGCTCTGGATGGGAGAGGGGTGAGGTAGTCATCAGAGGTACTCATCTCTTGGCTGGCTTTGAGAATGAAGAGCAATTTGATAGAAAAGGGTGCCACGGGAGAAAGGCATCTCTGGAAGACATCACAGGGACAAAGGCACAGAGGTCGGAAATTGGGCTAAAGGTAGCTGAACTCCAAAAAGCTTGGTTGTAAGTCCACTGTTGAGAAATTACATTTTTTTCCAAACCAATCTGTATGGTATATAAGTCCCTCTGCCGATTTCTAAAAGCCTATTAAAACCAAGAAGTTCCTTGAATTGGTACGAACAGTATCATCTGGAATGATGTTTGGAACACGGCAGAGGAAAAAAGGATTAGCACTTTAAGGATCTCACTAAGCCACGCCCTAAACTGCATGCATGCTTACAGTCTTTGAGAATTTCAGTCAGGTGGGAAAAATGTACAGGGAACCAGGTCTATTACAATGCTATCCTGATATCCCAGAGGCAAGAATAGGATGGCAGAGGAACACCTGAGCCCCCCAGCTGGAAGGAAATATACTCCCTCTCCTCTAATCCACTGGCCAAAGTTCCCAGGTCTGGGTAGGGTCATGGAAACATAAACATGCCACTTAAAATGGAATTGTGGTGCACAAAGTGGATATATCACAGATGATTTTAGCAAGCACATGCATCACTTTCAAAGAAAGGAACAGGAAGAATAGTCAAGATCTTTTTTCCAATGGAACTGAAGTGGCAGTGGGGGTGGGGAGGGCCCAAGTTTAGGGGCTCCCAAGGACCCCTTGGTAGTCAGGACCACTAGAGGGAAGCGATTCCAGCCTAGAAACATCCATGATTTTAAAAGACAGCAGTATAATCAACAAGACAAACAGGAGAGGACTGCTCACCACCTATGGCCAGGCACCTCAGACTCTAAGTAGTAAATCTTGTTATGGAATGGTAATGATAGATGGGAAATAATACAGGGGAACGCTGCATTTGCAAATCACAATCTGGTGAAATTCTTTACTTAAGATACAGCAGCAATCACTACAATCTTGCTGTTGCAAAGTCAGGCTTGTATGGGACTCGGTAATCAGGTAATGACTGTCTTTGCACTGGGAAGCAGAAAACTCATCAGTATTATTTCATCTTCAGTAAGAGTGGAGGGTCCACTAGATTACAGCAAGTAGAGAGGGAGTACAGGGGATGCCATGAGAGGGTGGGAGACAGTGCTCCATTCTTTAGTCTCTTGCCAGCAATGCGGTCACGTAGATAATGTGCCAACAGCTGGTCCAAAGTACCCATTTATCATACTGACTCATACAACTGTCTTTGACAGTTTTATGCTCAATGGGAATTTACACACTCAACATATTAATAGCAGTGTTGTCTCAAAAGCCAGAAAATCCTTGGATACACAGTTACAAACTTTCATCAATAACCTAAACAGATGCTACACAATGTCCACTAAGAGAAGGACATGTTTGTGGATTCCAGTCAAAATTCAAAGGTCTTGAGAAATCTTGAGATATTCACGGATGAATAAGATGGCATCACTAGTAGCAACATCTAAGGCATGAAGAATATGGTTTTGCAAAAGCAGTGAACAAAGATGCGGTCAACAGGAAGAGAGGATATACACACAAACCATGAGGTAGTCGTACTATTCATGTTTTCTTACTCAGAACTGGTCAAGCCATTAGTGGAGCACCAGTTTCTAGTCCTGACGTAAAATAACTTAAGAACGCAGAAATGGTGTCAGGGTGGAAGACCACCAGCAAGGGGGAGGGGAGAAAAGGGAGCAGCAGCAACTGGCAGAGGCGAGAGGTGGGAGAAGTGCCGTTCCTTCCTCAAGTTCAGGAAAACAAAGCCAAAAGGAGCCTTAAAAGATAAGCTGAGGACACCACATTAGGGAAGGGAAAGTGGGCGTGAAAATTCACCCTTGGAATTGCAAATTCGAAAAAGAAAGGCAGAGAAAGAAAGAGGCAGGCGGTAACATAGTGGTTGAGAGCATGGAGTCTGGTGTCTGGACTCAAATCCCAGATCCATTCCCTATGGGGCAAGCTATTGAACTTCTCTGTACTTTAGTTTCCTGACATCGTCTATGGGAATAATGACAGTATCTATGTCTCTGGGTGGAAGTCAGGGTTAAATGAGTTAATATGTGCCAAGTGCTTAGAACACCACCTGGCACAGAGTAAATGCTAGAAAATCCTAAAATACTTTTTTCTCCTATCTGTGGTGGCTTAAGATTGCCAGAGAAGGAATCAGAGGCTTTCAAACCTACAATTAAAGTCTAATAATAATGAAGTAATTATATATATATATATGTGTGTGTGTGTGTGTGTATATATATATATATATATATAATATGGAGAGAGGGCGGGGGACTCGAAAAGGCAATAAAATATTAATCTCGGTTCCCTGTTACTTAGAAGAAATTTTTCCCTTAAAAAAAAAAAAAGAAGTAAATAATCAGTCCAACAGCTCCAAAACCCATAAGCCTTTTTTTTAATATAAACTGAAAGACAGTAAAACAGACCAGATAGAATTTTTCGTGTCCTTTTAGTTCTTCTAGAAAACTTCCCTATCAACTAAACACACACACACACATACACCCACACTCCCCTTAATTCTTTTAACATGCATTTTCCAGGCCTTTGAGCTAGTGATTTATCTAGATAGGTTTACTGTTTCACTTAGAAGGAGGATCCGCTAATCAATCCTTGTCACCTATCTCTATTTTTCTATTTATACTCTGAAGTCAAGGGCATCAGTGAAGATGAGCTAATACTGCTAGAATCTCTACAACAAAAAAGGTACATAATGAATATTCTCAAAGCACCAGACAAGTTTAAGGAAAACTAAGGACAAAAATAATGATTCAATCTTGGCATTCAAGATTTTTAATGCAGAGTAACACTGCAATGGGGATAGGATTTGAATCACAAGAACCCATGCGAAAAAGATGAAAATGCGTAATACTCATCATCTCCCCTGCTTCCTGAAAAGGAGTTTAATATTTTCCATGCAGTGGAGAATGTCAAAAGAGGTTTTACTCC